AGGGTGGAGGGACGGCGCAGGAGGGGAAGACCCTCTATGAGATGGATTGATTTGGTGACTAGGGTAATTGGGATGGGTGTGTCGGAGGCAGTGTGTTTGGCGCAGGATAGCAGGGTTTAGGGCTGTTGTGCATAGGGTCACTATGAGTCGCAAACGACTCGATGGCACATAACAACAACAACAAATTTAATTTCGATGATCGACAATAAAACATAGAAATAGCAGTCATCTAATTGCCAGATTAACCAAATGCATTGGGGTTTTTTTTGGTTGGTTTTCTAATGCCTATGAAAATCATAAGGGAGTATAATGGTTCAGAATCAGTGAATAAAATAAGAAGAAAAGGGTGAGCTAAAGTGAGTGAAAAGGTATAAGATAAAGTCACTTTTAGGTAAGTTCAGCAAAGGTGAACATGAGATTTTCCAAGTGTGTGTACTGGGTACTACGCTGGCGACTCAGCAGACAGATGTCGATCTTGGATTGCTCACAGCTCTGTAACTCTCAGATGACTCTTGGTTTGCCAAGGTATTTCATTGCACATTGTTTACCTTTTGACTTCTCCAGGGAGTTCTGGTGGTTCCATCCATAGGGAACTGCACCGCTAACTCAAAAGCTATCCTTGCAGGTGATTCAGCACCACCAGTAGTTCTACTGGAAAAGAGAGGCCTTCTCTTAAAGGCATTGACTTAAAGCTTCAAAACATCACTGGACAGTCAGTTATGAATTGGTTCCAATTCAACAGCAGTGAGTTGTTGTTGGTTGTTGTTGATGTTATTTTAATTTGCACTCTAGTTCTTCGTTACTTTAAGAAAGGAGAGTAAGATAGACTTCAATTTTGTAAGTTTATGAAAAAATTGCTTCACATATGAAACTTAAAATGCATATATATCTGTATTTGTGTTGTCTCCCTAGGTCAATGTGAACCAATCACACTGGAGCTCTGCATGAATTTGCCTTACAACTATACAAACTATCCCAATTACCTTGGCCACAGGACTCAGAAGGAAGCATCCATCAGCTGGGAGTCTTCTCTTTTCCCTGCGCTTGTTCAGACCAACTGTTACAAATACCTCATGTTTTTTGCTTGCACCATCTTGGTACCAAAGTGTGATGTGAACACTACCCAACGTATCCCTCCTTGCAGGTATGACAATGGAGTCGTCCCCTACCCACCCCCCCTCCCCCCAAGTGTAACTTGGTTTTGCTTCCATGAGAAGCAAGGATTTGAGAACTTGCTTGGGTTTAGACAAGGAAAATACTGTCAAGGACCGCTGTATTTAACAAATGATGTGTTAAAAAGATAAATGAAGAAGAATTAGTTATTCCAACTGCTTTTAACAATGTTCATACACATTAATCATGTAAAATCAAATGTTTTTCATGTTCGTGGTTCTGAAGCATGTTTTAAAATATGAATGAAAATAGTACACACACACACACACACACACACACACACACACACACAGCCCTATCTCTGATGACATCGATGTTTTCAGAATACAACACACAGGTACCCGAAGCCTCATTGCCATCCTATAGAATGGATTAGAACTGCCCCAAATGCTTTCCTACACTGTAATCTTTATAGAAACAATAGCTCATATCTTTCTCTCACAGAGTAGCTGGTGGGTGTGAGGCATTGACCAAGTGCTTTAATTGCTCCACCCCCAACGGCTCCTCCAAATTCTGTAGCACCCAGAATTGTAGATAATACCCAGAGGCTCCATAACACCAACTGCATGGAAAGTGACTTGCTGAAGGAAATAAACTTGCACTCTGACCATGAATGGTATTAATGAGTAAGATCACTGTCTAGAATTTGCTAAGTTCAAGTCCTACTCTTCACTAGCTGCTGCTTATCTTTGGGCACATTTTTCAGTCTCTCAGCTTCAGTGTTCTTGCCAATAAAATGCCCCACTATAAACAAGCGCCAAAAGGTAGAAATAGCCTAAATGCCTAACACCAGATAAAGGAGTCACAAAATGTGTTTACACTAGAACATTGTATTTACAATAAAACATTGCTCACCTATAAAGAGAACTTACTTCCTCAGCACAGATCACCCCTGAAAACATTATTCTGAGAGAAGTCAAACATAACATCAAAGAGCACATTTAGTACAATCTCACTTTAATGAAATTGAGGAGGCAAGTATACAGAGATCCAAGTTAACTGGTGGTTACCAGGCTGATGGGAGAGAGGGTCCCATTGCTTAGAAGATATCAAACCTCTGGTACAAGTGAGAGATGGAAACATTTGGGGGGAAAATTTTGTTGGTTGAACAACAGCCAACATCACTTAATTGCATACAAAAATGTCATAAAGGCAAACAAAGTTTTGTTACATAAATGTTTAGTCACCACAAAAAATTCATTTCCTAATAAGGAAAGTAAAGATTTAATGGTTGTTGGATGGATTGTTATAAGATTAAATTAGTGTGTGTGTGTGTGTGTGTGTGTGTGTGTGTGTGTGTGTGTGGTGTGTCCTAGTCATTACAAATGCAGAATAAATGATAACTGTTAGGATGGAAGGAACACAATGTTTTTCAGCAATTTTGTCTCTGTGTGCCATGTGTTAAGGGTTACAGTCAGAGAACTTGGCAGATACAAGATGAATATCAGAGGTGAGTTGCTGCTGTCTTCAATGCCGCTTTTCATCAAGTGGTGCACATACAGATGTGCTCGCCTATACAAACCATATGTTAGGATCAGAAGTCATTTAGCTCTTGTAGAAAAAGCAATACTATCAGTGTAGCAGACAGATGGGCAAACAGTAAATTATATACTGAATATTAAGCAGGTGACAAGTTAGGGGCATCTGCAGAGTCAGGACAGGAAACAATAAAATTCCAGAATGACTTGAGGAACAAAACAAATTCCTCAAAGAGAGAACATTTGATGTTATATTTTGTATGAAAGTAATTCTAAAGATGTTTCTTAAATACCTTTCAAAGTATTAGTAAGAAAACTTCTATCAGCTTAATGTTAAAAAGCTATTTCCAGTCTTGTTCCACTATTGCTATACAATGCCAATATCTCCCTGCACACACATATATAATTTCCCTAACACAGTAGGAAGAAATTTACATATTTCAATATCTGGATACAATTTAGCATTTTAGGATGTAGCTTTCATATGAAAATGTCTAAGATTAATTTTTTTATTAATTTCACTGAACATTTACAGAGATTTTGGATTTCCATTCACTCATTGTTGCACTTTTCTCCCCACCCACCCCACCCCCACCCCCAGTTCGTTCTTCTCTGTGAAAAGCAAAAGGAAAAACTCCTTCATTGATATACAATCCCCCCGTACCCCCCAACCCCCACCCTGAGTATACTCCACTCTGCAACCCTCATTCCGGACTCTTATGATAATCATTAATGCCCTAAAATATATTACTTTTAAACTGTTCTCTCCCTCATCGACTTCAGTACAGTATACATAATTTATCCAGTTTTTCTCAGTCTTACCTCCATCCTGATGTCAGACAGTGACACCATACAGTATTTGTCCTTTTGTGACTGAGATATTGCACTCAGCATAATGTCCTCCAGGGTCACCCATTTTGAATAATATTGCATGAGTTCCTTGTTTTTCAATGCAGCATAGCATTCCATTGTGTGAATATGCCACAGCTTCTCTACCCATTCATTTGTTGATGGGCACTTAGGTTGTTTCCAGCTCCTTGCTATTGTGAACAAAGCCGCGATAAACATGGGTGTGCATGTGTCTGCTTGGGTGGCAGTTTTTGTCTCTTTGGGGTATATTCCCAGTGGTGGAATTGCTGGGTCAAATGGTATCTCTATTTACAACTTTTTGAGAAAGTGCCACACCACTTTCCACAGTGGTTGCACCATTTTTCACTCCCACCAACAGTGAATAAATGTTCCAGTCTCTCCACAACCTCATCAGCATTTGTTGCTTGTTGCTCTGTTAAATTTTGCTAGTCTTATTGGGGTGAGATGATATCTCATAGTTGTCTTGATTTGCATCTCTCTTAGAGGTAGGGATTTTGAACATTTATCTAAGATGAATCTTAGGGAGCTCTGGTGTCTTAGTGGTAAGGAATTACACTGCCAATGCAGAGGTACATAGTTCCAGTCCACCAGCTGCTCCATGGGAGAAAAATGGGCAGTTGACTCTTGTGTGATTTACTGCATTTGAAAACTCACTGGAGAGTCTGCTGTGGGCTAGTTTTGACTCAATAGTACATAACAACAACAACCAAAGATGAATCTTAAGAGCTCTGGTGGCTTAGTGTTAAGGATCTGTGGGAGACTCTAAGGGAGATTAGAATCTAAGAGGGCTCTAGTGGTTTAGTGGTAAGGGATTGTGCTTCCAATCCAAAGGCAGCTTCACGGCAGAAAGGCAATAAACCTCCCATGCAATTTATTGTCTCTGAAAACCAGCTGGAGGGTCAGCTGAGAGTTGCTTCAGACTCAGTGGTAAACAATCACAACAACAGGGTGTTTTGGTGAACTTCTTTTAGACACTTTCATTCTGTTTCTAGGTTTACCTACATTCCCCTACTCTCAGTATGCATTTATATTTGATGTTTGTTGTAAGAAAAATTTACATATGACAAAAGCAATAGGCTGCCAAGCCATTATGCACTCTGTGGTTCCTTTTACCAAGGCTCTTGATCAATCTTAAAATTTGGCTTTTAAACCTGAGGCAGGAGGTAATCTAAGAACTCTGAGCCCTTAAAACCAACCAGTAGTCACTGAGTCAACACTGATGTGTGACGATGCTATGCATATCAGAGTAGGATATTTGGTGCCTCATTTTTCAGTAGATCACCATGTCTCTCTTCTGAGGCACCTCTCAGTGGACTTCTATCTCTGATCTTTTGGTCAGCCGCCTACCACTCTGACCAATTGTAACATCCAAGGACTCCACTGAGTCATTAAAATATGCTAAACACATTTGTATCATTATTGTTGTTGATTGCCTTCAAGTTGAGCACGACTTCTAGTGACCCTATGAACCAAAGGCCTGGAGTGCCTCTACAACTATCGACATTTATCAAAGTTCATAGGGTTTCTGGAGGCATGTTATTTAGGAAGTGGCTAAAACTCCTGCGTCCAACCCTGCCATAGTATGGTTTTTATATGCCATTGAGTCTCTTGCGATGTATAATGACCCTATGTACAGCAGCTCTGAACCCTTTCCTGCCCTGAGCCAGTCTCAATAACTCTGACACATCAACCCTCATTGCCCCAGTTACTGTATCAATCCATCTCATCCGTGCTCTCCCTTTCCTGCACTGTCCATCCACCCTTCAGAGCATGATATCCTTTTCCAAGGACTGATCTCTCCTGGCCACGTGCCCAAAGTAAGTGAGGTGGAACTTCAAAATCCTAGACTCCAAGGAGAAACTTGGTTTCACCCTCTCAAAGACAGACCAATTTGTTTTCTTGGCAGTCCATGTTATGTTCAAGACTATTCTCCAGCACCACAACTTGAAAGCATCTATTCTTCTGTCATCCTTAGTTATTGTCCAACTCTCTGAAGCATAGCAAGTAATTGAGAAACTATGGCCTGGATTGTTGTTGTTGTTTGATGCCGTCGAGTCGTAGACGACTCATAGTGACCCTGTGAACGAACTGCCTGAACACTGTTCGTACATAGAGTTTCCGGAGGCAAGCCATTTAGGAAGTGGATGCCGCTCCTGCTTCCAGGCTTGATTTAGTCGGGAAGCTCCTAATCAGCAAGCATGGTTGTGTCATCTGCATATAGTAGGTTGTTAATGAGTCTTCCTCCAATCCTGATGCCACGCTCCTCCTCATAAAGCCCTGCTTCCCGAATAAACTGTTCTGCAAACAGATTGGAAAAGTTCGGGGACAGGATGCATCCCTAATGCACTCCTTTTCTGATTTTGAACCATGCAGTGTTTTCTTGCTCTGTTCTGAGGACTGCTTCCTGGTTTAAATATAGGTTTTATATAAGCATGATCTAGTGCTCTGAGATTCCCATTTTTCTCAAGGTTAGCCAGAATTTATTGTGATCCACATAGTCAAATGCCTTTGCATAGTCAATTAAACACAGATAGACATTCTTGGAGTACTCTCTTGATCTTTCTGCCAAGATCTAGCTGACATTGGCAATAGTTTCCCTTGTGCCACAACCTCTTTTAAATCCAGACAGTATTTCTGGTTGCTCTCTGTCAATGCACTTTTCAAGTCTTCTCTGGATAATTCTCAGAAGAATTTTGGTGGTGTGTGATATTAGTTATGTTGTTCAATAATTTCCACACTCTGTTGGGTCACCTTTTTTTGGCATGGGAATAGATATGGATCTCTTCCAATTAGTATCATTTGACTGTGTCTTAAGGAGCTTTGGCAGCATAGTCAGTTGTGCTGCTAGTCTAAAGGTTGCATGTTGTTGACAGTCTAAATCCACCAGCATTTTAAACCTACCCAGAAGAAAGATAGACAATCTCCTGTTTATGCAACTTGTAGCCTCAGAAACCTAATGAGAGCTACTCTGTTGACTAGATGACAGTGAGTCGATGCTCGAGGCTCTCTCATGCTCACAATAATATTTTGAATGAGGTGCAGATCATTAGAACTGCTGCTTGTGGTTGAGCACTGACAAATTATAATGGATCCATAAATTCTGGGGTTGTAGTGCTGGGTACTGCACGTCCATTTCACAGGAAAATTGTAAAGTAGTAGAGTCAGGTGCTATGCAACTTTCTGTTTAAGTAACAATCATATAACTCATTTAAATTATCAGTAGCAATTGAGCTGGGCATATGTTTTCTAAATTTCCAGCAAAACTATTTGGTACAATAGACAGTTATTTAACACAGATAACAATATGAGAGTAAATTTAACATGAGAGTGCTGTAACATAATCTTCCCATTGCAGATTTCAAGGTTAATCTAGTGTCTGGTTCTATTTTGGGCATCACATGTGACTTTAGATCCGTCCTCTATATTTCCTCGTTGTATTCTTTATCTTTTCCTTCTCGTTTATTTTGTAGCTATGCTAGAGCTGACTTTTGTGAAAGGCTGGCCTCATCGGATTAAAAAAAATAAAACAATACAGTTGTTTTATAGAAGGGAGATTAAATCTTGAAAACTTCACTTTCTTTTCGTGCAATGAAATGTTTCATTGTAGATGCATAGTAGAATATTTTTTTGAGGAGATATTTTTGGGAACAGGAGTGGCATCCACTTCCTAAACAACATGCTCCTGGAATCTCTGTGAACTTTGATAAATGACAATAGTTATAGAAAGGCTTCAGGCCTTTTTTGTTCATAGTGTCACTATGAGTCGTGCTCGACCCCACGTCAATCAACAATCAACAACCATTATTTACTTAGTGACTGAAGAGAGGGTTTGAGCATGGCAGAGACAGGCGGCTTTTGATACATAGTTCATAGGGTTGCTGTGAGACATAGCCAACCGACTAGGCCCTAAAAACATCTATGGTGCTTATCTTGGTTTCTTAAATGACCACTACATATATGCATCTCTCGCTCTCTCTTTACATATGTACATACACATACACCATGTGCACACATAAGCCCACAGTTGCACAGAATTCACACCCACTGCACCACTAACGTGCTGCTCAGACCTGGTCTTTCCTCATGCTGGTGTTTTGTCTTCCCGGCTCTTGCAGGGCACTCTGTCAGCACTCCAAGGAACGCTGTGAATCTGTTCTCGGGATTGTGGGCCTCCAGTGGCCTGAAGATACAGATTGCAATCAATTTCCAGAGGAAAATTCAGACAATCAAACCTGCCTGATGCCTGATGAGGATGTGGAAGGTTAAATTTTAAACTAATTACAGTGGGCTATCTAACACAGATGAGCATGTCAGCCATCTTTTCTGGTCTCACTCTCACCTGTTGAGTTGATAATCAGATTGCATAGGTGAATTGAGTCCTCCTTTCAGTTAGTAGGCAAGTTCTTAAGCACTGTGCCACTAGCACTGTTTCTTCCTGTAGACCTATGTATATATTTATCTCTCTCTATAGACATAGATGGAGAACAGGAGAGAGTCGTTAAACTTTGACAGCCATACTTCATTTTTTAAAAATTTGGAACAACTTATTAAAGGTTCTCAAAGAAAGAACATGTCAGCCAAAGATTTATATTTGTAAACACTCACGCCTTTCTTTATGAACACTATCACCAGGTAAATAAATGGTAGATAAGAGAAATGATCTCTTTTTAAAAGCAGTGCTACATAATAAGTGAAACATACGTGATTCTATTAGAGGATCACTATTTTGTAGCACATAGTAAACCAATGTTTCAGGAAACTGAGTAAGAATTTGTGGCTTCTCTGTAACTTTTTCATTCCTTTGAATAAATTGTCAAGATGAGTTTGCTCATCCAGAGATGTCCCACTTTTACCACAATTAATTCAAAGACTCCCTTATCCATGGATGCTACCTTTATAAGGAGCTCTGGTGGCATAGTGTGTAATGTTTCCAACAGGTAGCTGAAAGACTGGGAGTTCAAACATCCAGTGGAGGGTCAGAGCCAAGTCAGCATCAGTGGGTTTAGTTTTCGGTTTGATGCGTTTGTATTAGGGATTCTGAAGGTGGATGAACATTAAGTCTTGATTCTTTCAAGTGTAAAGTTTTCAAAAACCTAAGCAACACAGGGTCCCTGCATAGAGACGTGGAATTGGAACCTGCCCACCAGTGGGAAAGACTGGAATAGGAAAATGATTATGATATATTGAGAACTGCTTAGTAGTTAATATTGACACCACAGGATATTTTAGGGAAATTGTTAGGTTTTCCATCTGGAAATAGAATTAATTTCTTGGAACAATAAGTACACTAAGCATCTGATCAGAAGGGATTATGAAAAAAATAAAGATGATGATATGAAAGTAAATATAAGTCAAGTTAACTTTGTCAGCTACAACTTTTTGGAGGCCTACCTTTACCTTTCATTATAGTTTCTTGAATGGCTAACTTTTCTTGGATTTTCTGTCCATTGAGAGTAAGCTACCCCATAAATCTATGTTTTACTTAACAGAGTGCTCTCCTAGTCATTTCAAGTGCCGCTCTGGACGCTGTATTCTGGCTTCCAGAAGATGCGATGGCCAAGCTGACTGTGACGATGACAGTGATGAAGAAAACTGTGGTATGTACAGGAGATGACAATTTTCTTGAATGTGTAGTAACACCTGGTTAGGAAAAGGGACTGCACTATGTAAACTATTCACCGATCAGTGATTCATGTACTCTGAACACACTGTCAGGAGGAGCCCGTTACTGGAAAAGGGTGTCATGCTTGGAAAGGTGGAAGATCAGTGAAGGAGAGGACGACTCCCAACTGGTAGTGGTTATGACTGAATGTCTTTGTTTCTTAAATTATCAAACTTCCCAACATGAATCTGTTAGGTGTTTTTATCTTTTAGCATTACTCATTTTCCCCCTCCCTTATAAATCTGTTGATGATCCATGTGCAAACATTTAAAGAAAGAGCCCTTCACAAGTATAGCAAACCCGTAGAGTTTGTCATCCTGTTTTAAAATCAGAACAAGATATACAGTGTCTTTGCATATGATTCCACATCATCAAATAGGTATCTGTATGCTCAAAGGCAGAGTTCAGGCTTCATTGTTCAAATTTAATTGGTACTTATTTTCATGCCCTCTTTGATTTTGTCTCTGTTGGCAAAGGATAAAACTTTTCCTGGCATTTCCTGCCCTTGCACTTCAGAATTGCCAGTGGGGAAGGTCAGAAATGCCAATGGTAATTTAAGTGGAACTAATTTCCATTTTCTTTCCCTGCAATCCTCTGTGTTTGCAATTTTAGATTATGGTCAGGAGGGTGAAAAAAGAAAAACCCATAAAAACAAACAATGCTCTTTTTTTTTCCTCCCAGTGCTCTTTTTTAAAGAACCTTCCAGAGTCAAGCAAAATGACAGAAGGCTATCTAAAGAGTAGCTTGGCTATGATTCTTTTAGCTTGTTCTGCTTTTTAAAAAAGTATACTTTTTTTTTTTGGTCATGGAAAGCACATCAGGAAATATATCTCTTGAAGTGATTTCATTCTCTTAGCCTTTGAGATATGAAGCATTACCTTGCTACCCAAAATGAATTTTCTGTTGTAGACATTGCCCTTCTGGTCTAGACAAAATGTCAAGAGCAATCAACTGAAATTCTATCAGCCACCACAAATATGGACAAGTGCGTCTGCTAGCAAATTACATTCGTCAGAATGATGGCACAATGACCAGGGTAATTTTGTTATGGAGGAACATCCAGTGTTTTGAGAGCCATGGAAGCTACTGTTGTTTGCTTATCTGTGGTCTTTGTATAAAGATATAAATCAGAGCTCATGGAATATCCCCTATGTAAGTGACTTATTAAGCAACTATTAAATCCATTCACTAAAATAAGAATTTAATAGGTTATAATATCCTAAGATGCAATTTGAAATGAATCCTATTACATTGTTCAAAGAGTGTGCACAATGCTGTGCTGGAGAGGCTAGACCTAGATTTGATGTTGTCATTGTTGTTATATGCTGTTGAGTCAACTATGAACAATAGCTCTGAACCCTGTCCTGAGCCAATCTCACTGTCTTTGATGCACCTACCACCATTACTCCAAGTCTCCATGTCTATCCATCTCCTCCAGGCTCCTCCTTTCCTGAGCTGGCCTTCTATCCTTCCAAGTATGATGTCCTTCCAAGGACGGGTCCCTCTTGGAAAAATACCCAAAGTATGTGAGATGGAGTTTCAAAATCTTTGCTTCCAACAAATAACCTGGTTCCACCCTCTTCAAGAAGACCTCTTTGTCCTCTTGGCAGTCCATAGCATGTTTAAAACTCTTCTCAAGTACAGCTCAAATGTATCAATTTTTCTTCTGCCATCCTTATTCACTGTCCAGATCTCTGATGCAAAGTAAGTAACTGTGAAGACCACACTCTGCAGCAGGCTCATCTTAGACTCTGGCACTGACATTGTTGCACTTCAACACTCTCAAAGCAGCTCATCTCTTGATTTATTGACTGCTGAAGCCAAAAGTGTTAATTGTAGATGTTAGCAAGAGGAAACTATTAAAAATGTCAATCACTTCTCTATCTACAATGATACTGTCAATTGGCCTGGTTGTAAGAATCTCCGTTCTTTGATGTCAAGATGCAATCCATATCAAAGACCGCAGTTCCTGACCTTCTGCAGCAAATACTTCAGCTTCTCCTCAGTTTGGGCAGGCAAAGTTGTGTTATCTGCATAATGCAGATTGTTGGTAAGTTTTCCTCCAATCCTGATGCTGCATTTCTCTTCCCAAATGATCTGTTCTGCATATAGATTGTAAAGGTATGGAGACAGGACACATCCCTGACATGCTTCTTTCTTGATTTTGAACCATGCAGTATTTCTTTGCTTTATTCTAGTCACTGCTTCCTGATCTAAGTATAGATTTTGCATGAGCATAATCAAGTGTTCTGGAATTCCCATTCTTCTCAATGTTAGCCACAATTCTTTGTGATCCATACAGTCAAATACCTTTGCATAGTCAGTAAACACAAATAGACATTTTTCTGGTACTTTTTTATTTCAGCCAGGATCCATCTGACATTGACAATGATATCCCTGGTGCTGTGGTCTCTTCTAAGCCCAGTTTTTACTTCTGGCAGTTCTCTGTCAATGTAATATTCTACTTGTTTTTGGATAATCTTCAGCACAATTTTGCTTACATATGGTATTAGTGATATTATTTGATAATTTCCACTCTGTTGGATCACCTTTCTTTGGCAATAAGAATAAATATTGATCTCTTCCAGTCAGTTTGCCAAGTAGCTATTCTCCATATTTCTGGGCACAACCTGATGAGCACATCCAGGGCTGCATCTATTTGTTAAAATACATCAACTGGTATCCTATTAATTTCTGGAAACTTCCTTTCCACCCCCTCCACCCCCGCCCCGCTCAATTCCTTCAGAGCAGCTTGAACTTCCTCCTTCATCACCACTGTTTCTGATCATATGTTGTCTCATTAAATTCTTCTGTCAGCCAATTCTTTTTGGTATACTGAGTCTGTGTACTCCTATCTTTTTTTGTTGCTTCCTGAATCATGCAATATTTTGTCCCTAGCATCTTTATGTATTGTAACTTGAAACTTGAAATTCGACAAATGCCAAATGAGTTCATCCTTTTTGATTTCCTAACTCTAGCTTTTTGCACATTTCACTACTTTTCTTTGTCTTCCTGAGCTGCCCTTTGAAATCTCCTGTTCAGCTTCTTAACTTTCTAATTTCTTCCCTTTGCTTTGGCTTCTCAGCATTTTAGTGCAATTTTTAGAGTCTCTTTTGACATCCATTTTGGGTACTATAAAGGCTTAGTTAAAAACCAAACAACAACAGCAACAACACACACACACACACACACACACACACATACACACACACATCTCTGCCAATAATAAAATTATTGAGTTCCAGAACATATTCTATAACAGAAAGACTTTGTGTGTGTGTGTGTGTGTGTGTGAGAGAGAGAGAGAGAGAGAGAGAGAAATTGGTTTTATTATTATTATTATTATTATTATTATTTTAAGGATGTTTCAGCATGCCTGGATACTTTTATGCATAGAAAGGTATATTATATATGGTACACTAAGTCAGACATTTCACTAATTGATGTTACACATAAACTGTACCAAACTGTTTAAATTTACATACAAATTTGACTTAAAGACAGAACTAAGAATGAACGTATTCTTAATCTGAGGTAATGTTCACATACATCCAAATCATGTAACATATACAGAATGTATCATCTACATTAAGTGGAATGTGGCTGTCCTCAACAAATATTTGTTGGAAGAATAACCATTTGATTTATATTCTTTTTTTAAAAAAAGAAAGACTTTTTAATGCACTTAGATGAGTTTAGGTTAAGCAATGAGTTAATTGCATATATAAAGACATAAAGAGATTTAATCTCTGTCAAGCACTCCAAATATTGATGACACTGTTGAAAGCTGTGGTAAGGAAAATTAAAATTGAAAAAATATGATTAGGTTTGGAATTAAATAAATTGCTCCAACAGAAGTAATTTATGAACAATCTTTCATTCTCTAGAGTAATAGACAAGAGAAAAGTCAGATATGTTTACACCTTTGAATGTATTTGCACGGGAGTAGCTTGAATGTTCATGTACCATGATCTAGGATGGGGGGAAGTGGGTCATGATGTCTCAAACCAAATAGAAATTCACACCATCTATTTCCCAGCATCCTACTTGCTTAGTCTGTTTCTCTTTTCACATGTGGATAGGCATATCATTTGGAAATGCAAATACCAGATTCAGCAAAACTGAGTTTCACCCAAGAATTCTGTTTTGTATTTTTTTCTGTCCACTGGGCACTGAATGTATTTAAATGCCTGGGCTTTACAGCCATTCACAGTCAAGTTTCTTCCCTATCCCTTGGTGTAGTCATTTCTTAGAGAGCAAAGAAATCTTAACAATTCAAGATGCCACTACTTTAGGATAATTTTCTTTCCACAAATCACTTACTAGGAGAGCAGGAAACAACTATCCTTCTTTTCAGAAAAACTTGGACCTTTGTAATGATCTGATACAAGATCACAAAAAAAATACATCTTCTGGAGCTTAAGGCTTTCTAAACTTTATCCTCATTAAAGAAACGATAGTACTAAGAAATGACATTTTTATTCATTGTATTCACAGTTCACATATTAATTTACAGTTTTGAGATAGAATTGCAATACTGGTATTATGATCACCATTTTATAAGTGGAGAGACTGATATTTGGGGAAGTTAAATAAATTTCCCTAAATCAAAGGCTTATGCAGAGGGATTTTTGGGGCTCGGGCCAGGTCTTTAATCTTAGAACTCTGTGAAGTCAGCATATCGATTAAAGAGGAGGGAAGCATTGATTTAGAGTCAGGCAACTGGATTTGAAAGTTAGCTCAATCTCGGAAGCTGTGTGATCTTTAGTACAAGACCTCTCTGAACCTCAAAAATGCTAGGAGGAGCTGCAGATGCTTGAGAGTGAATAGTTAGTTGTCACGTTACTCAGAAAAGATTTCGAAGCAGGCTCCCTATCATATCTCCAAGTACCTGCAGGACTAACCTTGTCTTAACATCCCAGGTAATTGTGTCCTAGTTAATAATACCCAATCATATTGTCAAAAGTTCCTCCAGTGAGTATCTTGAGTCCTTAGACCCAAAACCACTCCAGATATACAACTCGTGAGGAACTTTTATAATTGAATCGATTTGGTAGCTAAAATTACTATTTAAGAATGTGCATATAGATGACAGTAAAACAATTTCTTTTGCTTATCTAATTTGCAAACTTCTCAATGAGTTTTGGGTTGTTTGTTGTTTGTTTTGTTTTTTTAAAATGTAGATCATTTCTCTTAGGATGGCTTCCAAAAGCCCTGAGCCAATTGTCTATGAAATTTCTCTGAATTATTTGTAGTATGTAAGATGGTAAGTAACATTTTATTTTTAGAAACTTTCTATTCTATTCCCGTTAAGCTGAATGATCTCTTCCTGGAAATGGGAGACATTGTGTCCCTTATGTTGTTGTTAGATGCCAGTTCATTTACTCTTTTATGTTGAGAGCTTGCTGAGTACTAGCTGCTGCTCTAGGCAGGGAGGTGACAGGAAGTAAAAAAAGATAAAAATAATGCCAGGTTGTCTCTGTCTTCATATACCTGCCAGTTTCTGAAGGTTGTGGAGCCAGGTTGAGTGACTAAACTACATAAGAGTATTGATATGTTTTAGCAAATATATATAATGTACTGTGTTTTAATCACATGGCACTTCTGAAGTTCATTACAAGTGCTTTCGTTGTTGTTGTTGTTGTTGTTATGTGTCATCGAGTTTCTTGAGACTCATAGCAATCCTATGTACAATAGCTCTGAAACCTGCTCTATCATGTGCCAACCTTATTGTCTCTGATACACCTACCCTCATTACCCCAGTCACTAAGTAAATCCATCTCATTGAGAGTCTTCCTCTATTGCACTGTTTCTCCACTCTCCCAAGCATGATTTCCCTCTCCAAGGACTGGTCATTGCAACATGACCAAAGTATAGCAGACAAAGTTTCAGATCCTTGCCTCCGAGGAGCAGCCTGGTTTCATCCTCTCCAGGACAAGCCTATTTGTTCTCCTGGCAGTCCATGATATATTCAATATTATTCTCAAAAATTCTCCTTCTATCATCCTTAGTCACTGTCCAGCTTTGTGGTGCATAGCAAGTGATTGCAAAGATGATTGCCTGGATCAGGTATGCCTTAGTCTCCAGACTGACATTGCTCTTCTGCAGAACTCTGTAGAGGTCCCTGATCACAGACTTTCCCAATGCAATTCATCTTTTTATTTCCTGGCTCCTGCTAGCAATAGTGTTGATTGTGGAGCCAAGCAAACTAAAGCTGTTAACAATCTCAATCTCTTCACCATCTATTATAATGCTACCTACCAATTGGCCCAGTGGTGAGAATCTTTGTTTTCTATTGAGCTTCAATCCATATTGAAGGCTGCAGTCCTTGACCCTCCACAGCAAGTGCTTTAGGTCATCTTCAGGTTTAACAAGCAGGGTTGTGTCATCTGCATAATGCAGGTTATGGATGAGTCTTCCTCCAATCCTGATGCCACATTCCTCCTTTTAGAACCTAGCCTCCCAGATGATTCGTTCTGCATGTAGATTGAAAAGGTATGGAGATAGACTGTGTCCCTGGCATACACCTTTCCCGATTTGTAACCATGTAATGTTTCCTTGTTCTGTTCTGACGACTGCCTCCTGGTCCAAGTATAGGTTTCACACAAGTGTTCTGGGATCCCCATTCTTCTCAGAACCAGCCACAGTTTGTTGTGGTCCACACGGTCAAATTCCTTTGCAAATGATACAGATAAACATTCCTCTAATGCTCTCTGCTTTCAGTCAATATTCATGTAACATTTTCGCTAGTACAAAGTACTCTTCTAAACCCAGACTACACTTCAGGCAGTTCTCTGTTAATGTGCTGTTCCAGCCATTTTTTTATAATCTTCAGCAGAATCTTGCATGCATGTGATATTAATGATATTGTTTGATAATTTCCACTCTGTCTGGTCACCTTTCTTTTGAATGGAAACAAATATAGATATCTTCCAATTAGTTGACCAGATTTCTTGACACAACTTGCTGAACATATCCAGGGCAGGGTATGTTTGCTGAAATATGTCAATTGGTATACTGTCAATTGCTAGGGCTTGTTTTTGCCAATTCTTTCCAAGCAGCTTGAACTTTCTCTTTCATCACCTCAGGCTCTTGCTCATACATTGTTTCCTGAAGTTCTTCTGTGTCAGCCAGTTTCTCTGGTACAATTATTCTGTGTACTCCTTCCCTCTTCTTTTAATGCTTCCTGGATCATTTAATATTCTACCCAGAGCATCCTTAAGTATTTAGTACTCAAGGCTTGAATTTGCTCTTAATTCCTTCTCTTTGCACATTTCATTATATTACTTTTCTTTGTCTTCCCAAGCTGCCCTTTGAAATCTTCAGTTCAGCTCCTTAATTTCTTGATTTCATCTTTTTGCTTTGCTATCTTGGAGCTCTAGTACAATATGAGAGTCTCTTCTGACATCTATCTTGGTCTAGTTTAAGTCTTATTCTTAAGACTTGTTCTCAGTTGCCATGAATTCCTTCTGACTCATGATGGCCTTACGTATGATGGCATGAAACATAACCTGTTCTTCACCAGCTTCAGGATCACTGGGGTGTGGTTGATCTCATTTTATTATTGTGTCAATCCGTCTCATTCACGATTTGTCTCTTTTTCACTGACCAAATATGATGCTATTTTATCAAACATGATGCTATTTTTTTAGCAGTAGATTTGTAGTCTCAGTCTGATTTTGCAAAGTCACTTTATGTCTCATATTAAGTTATCTTACCTTAGACATTTTACTTTTATAAACTAGTGGATATCTTATATCAATATTGCAAGAATCTGGTACAGGGGAACCTCTTTGCCTAAACATATATAGTCTCCCCCTTTGATTGCTAAAATGACTTTTAAAGAACATGCATTTAGTTCACTAGATTTGGCATATTTACTTGATAGCACAACACATCATTTTATAGAGAACTGTTATGTGTAGGCAATTTGAGTATTTCTGCTTTCACAATTAGGTGATTCATGGTTTATGAATCAGAACTCCTTCAGAAAAAAGAAATCCTGTTTTGTATGCTATACTTTTTTCCTCCATTGTTTGATCAAATGAATTATTCTCTCACCTCTCCATCTATTGTGTGTTACATCTTCTTCTGTATCCAGGGTGTGAAGAGAGAAATCTTTGGGAATGTCCATCTAATAAACAATGTTTGAAGCACACAGTGATTTGTGATGGGTTTCCGGATTGCCCTGATAGCATGGATGAAAAAAACTGCTGTAAGTGTTTACACAAACTTGTCAAAATGGCATTTTAATTTTTAAACACAAATTACCTTTCACTTTCAATACAAACTGTTTGTGTATTGTAGCACTTAATGTACCAAAAGAACTAGCTGTGGTAGTATATACTAAAAAATAACCAAAAGCATGTAAAAATATATGCATGGTATTATTACAGTGTTATTTATCACATGGAAATTACTTTTTTAAAACAATCTAATATAAAAATATACAAGATGCATGTGATATAATCATCAAATAATATGTTGTTGTTGTTGTTGTTGCTATTATGTGCCATCAAGTCACCTGAGACTCACAGCGACCCTATGTAACTATACAATAGCTCTGAACCCTGCCCTATCCTGAGCCAGTTTAACTAACTCTGACACATCTTATAAACATTACCCCTGTTATTGTGTCAATACATCTCATTTGGGGTCTTCCTCTCCTGTGCTGTCCCTCCACCCTTCCAAGCATGATGTTCTTCTACAAGGATTGGTCCCTCCTGACCATGTGTCTAAAGTATGTGAGATGGAGCTTCAAAATCCTCACCTCCAATCCTGAAACTTAGTTTCACCCTTTCCAAGACAGACTTGTATGTCTCACAGTACTAGACAAAAACCCCTAAATGAACAGTGGATTATTTGGGCTATTTCTTTTTCTGTGACTCTTTTGGGGTTTTTTTTGTTGTTTTTTTTTTTCACCAGCACCAACACCTTTAAGTGCATCAGAAATCTTCTATCACATTCTATAAGAAGGACCTAGACTTTCCCTCTCATCTTTAGACCATCACATAAGGACTCAGTCAAACTGGCCGATTTTGAACATGGACAGGGCTTGTAGCCTGGAATCATTGTAAAGTTTGGAAAACACACTTTCTATAAATAGGTGAATCCATGGGCATTTGAGCACCCAACATTCAAAACTAGATGGTCAGTTCTGTTTCTTAGTCTGCAAGTTCTACTGAAACCTGTCCATTATGGTTATTCTGCTGTTATTTCAAATATCAATGGCCTAGCTTCCAAGATCACAGCCACATTCAGGCCACCAGAGTATGGCAAACAGACAGATAAGTGGTGGATTCAGACACTTACATATGTTGGATTCAAGAAGAGGTCATAGAATGATGTATCAATAATACTGCTGATAACCAGATGGATCTTGACTGAAAGGAGAAAATAACCAGAAGATATTTACTTGTGTTTTATTGGCTCTTCAAAGGCATTCAGCTGTGTGGATCATAATAAATTATGGATAGCACTGAGAAGAATAGAAATGTAGGAACACTTAATTGTATTCATGCCAACCTTAAGCATGAACCAAGAGACAATAGTTCAAATAGAACAAAGGTATATGGCATGGTTTAAAATTAGGAAGTAAGTACATCTTTTTACCAAACCTATTCGTTTTGTGAACTAAGCATATGTGCAAGAAGCTGGGCAATAAAAGGATCAGGATTGGAGAAAAATTCATCGACAATCTGCATCATACAGATGGCATAACCTTACTTGCAGAAACTGAAAAAGACTTGAAACTTACTAAAGAAGATCAAGGACTAGAGCCTTCAATATTTATTCTACATCAACCTCAAGAAAATAAAATTTCTCACAACTGGATCAATAGGCAACAACTTGGTAGATGGACAAAAGATTGAAATGTCAAGATTTTCATTTTACTTAAACCATGGGAGCGACAGTCAAGAAATCAAAAGACATAATGTATTGGGCAAATTTGCTTCAAGGAACTCTTTAAAGTGCTAAAGAACAAAGAGGCCCATTTAAAGACAGTAGTGTACCTGTTCCAAGCCGTAATATTTTCAACTGCTTCAGGTGAATGTGAAAGTTGGACAGTGAGGAAAAGAATACCAAAGAATTTATGCTTTTGAATCTTGGTGTTGACAAACAATTTTATACAATGAACTTCCAGAACAACAAACCTGTTCTGGAAAAAGTGTAACCAGGGTGCCTTAGTGGAAAGGGTGTTAGTTAAGACCTCATCTGTCATAGTTTGGGCATGTTATTAAAAGGGGCCATTCTTTGGAAAAGGATACTATGCTTGGAAAAGTTGAGAATCAGTGAAGGGATGGAATACCCTTAGCAAGATGGCTGGATACAGTGACTGCAACACAAGCTTAAGTACGGCCAATATTGTTAGGACGGTGCAAGGCTGGGAAGAATTTCAATCTGTTATAAATAAGAGGCTCTAGGAGTCAGGACAGACAAAGCCGCACCCAACAACAATTTAGACCTACAAGAAATTTTTCGTTGATTTTTAATTATATTGTGAGGATATATGTGAATATTCAGTTGTTCTCATGTGATTTCTTTTTGTCAGTACACGCCTAGTATGTATTTTTCTAGAGCAACCTTCTCCCATCAAAGGTAGTGTAGGATTAGACAGAGTTTGAATCAATTGTACAGAAAAATACCTGTGAGTCAGAATAGGCATAATGGTACTTAACAACAACATAAACAGTTGAATTGCAAAATTCCCCCTTTGAGAATACAAACTTAAAGAAAAACCAAACAAACAATATTTTGTTAGCTCTAGACTGCCCAGTCTCAGGCACGCACATACTTCCTGGACAGTAGAGTTTGGGCAAGATTTCTCTTGGGATGTACAATCCAGAAAATCATAAGCGAAGGCCCTGACTATAGATCACAGATTCTCTCCTAAAACCTAAAACTAATCCCATTGACATCAGCTCAGTTCTAACTCACCGCAACCTCTACTGGGTTTCCAAGACTGTAAATATTTATGGGAGGAGACTGCTCATCTACTATGGAGAAGCTGGTGGGTTTGAACCGCTGGTCTTCTGTTTAGCAGCCTGATATATTCCACACTATGATACCAGTACTGGCTCTAGAGGTTTAGTATTTAAACAGTCGCACTGTCAATCCAATCTGTTTGTCTACTCTAAGTGTGCTCTGCTGTACATAGGGTTTTTGAAACCCTATTTTGAAACCCTATTATATTTCAGAAGTGCATGGCCAATCCTTATTTCTAGTCTGTCTTAATTTGGATACTTAGTTTTAGAACAATATTTGTCAGACAAGCGTTTTACCGAGCAGATGAAAGACACTTCTCTTAACAGAAATAACCAATACATTCACTGTCTTCCCCAACCCAAGCATGTGTGTTTTTTCTCAACCCTTTCCCTGCTACATCACTATTCCTAGCATTCCTGGCTTTCTGGTCAAACCCTCCTTTCCCGTGGCCACCTATTGATATGATAATTTAGTTCACAAGTCACTTTTGTGATGTCTTGCACCACACACACTGTTACTTGTCTCTCACGCTGTTATTTGTCTCTTGTTTAGGAGGATGTAAGTCCAAGTCCCATGTATCAAATTCAGGGAAAAACTTTTTCTTGAGGCAGTACTGAGGGAAGTTCCTCGACACAGAGCTTCTGCTAAGTTTTGTGACTTGGTGTCACAATATGGATTAAAGCTCAACATCAAGAAAACAAAGATTCTCAACCACTGGGCCATTTGTCAACACCATGATAGATGGAGAGGAGATTGAGGTTGTTAACAATTACACCTTTCTTGACTCCACAACACAATCAACATTCTTAGTACTGTTGTTGTTGTTGTTATATGCCGTCGAGTAGTTTCCGACTCATAGCGACCCTATGCACAACAGCCCTAAACCCTGCTCTATCCTGCGCCAACCGCACCGCCTCTGACACACCCATCCTGATTACCCCA